TGGGGACACGTGCCATGGTGGGCTGTGCCATGGGGTGCAGTGCCATGGGGACACATGCCATGGAGGGTTCTGCCATGGGGACACGTGCCATGGAAGGTTCTGCCATGGGGCACAGCACCATGGGGACACGTGCCATGGAAGGTTCTGCCATGGGGCACAGCACCATGGGGACACGTGCCATGGAGGGCACTGCCACGGGGCGCAGTGCCACAGGGCCACGTCCCACGGCACTGCATCCAGGGAGGGTTCTGCCATGGGGCGGCGCGGTGCCTGGGGGACCCCCACGCCTGATGGGTTTCGTGTGCCCGCGTGCGCCTGCATGTGCGGGCAGAGCTGCTGGACGCCTTCAAGGAATTCGACACGGACCAGGACGGGTACATCAGCTACAAGGACCTGGGCGCCTGCATGCGCACCCTGGGGTACATGCCCACCGAGATGGAGCTCATCGAGATCTCCCAACACATCAAGATGAGGAGTGAGCGTGGGGCCGGGTGCCGCGGGGCTGGGGCGGGTGCCGCAGGGGCAGGGGACGGGGCGCGGGGTGCTGAGGTTGTGCCTTTCCCGCGTGCAGTGGGCGGCCGCGTGGATTTTGAGGATTTTGTGCAGATGATGGGGCCGAAGTTGCGGGAGGAGACGGCCCACATGGTGGGCGTGAGGGAGCTCAAGATCGCCTTCCGTGAGGTACGGCCACCGCCACGGGGGACCACGGCCACGGTGGGGCAGGGGGACCACAGCCATGAGGGTGACCGCTGGCACAGAGGGGACAGGAGCCCTGGAAAGACCATAGTGGGGACAATGACCGTGGGGGTGACCACAGGCACGGAGGGGACAGTGACCACAGGGAGACCATGGGGTGACTGTGACCATGGGGGAACAGTGACTGTGGGGGTGACCCACTGACATGGAGGGGACGGTGACCATGAGGAGACCATGATCACGGGGGAACCGTGACCATGGGGGTCATCACAGGCATGGAGGGGATGGTGACCAGAAGACCAGGGGGTGACCATGGCCCTGGAGGGAGGGTGATGGGGCCGATGGGGAGGGTGACCCCCCCCCAACCTGCGGGCACCGTAGTTCGACGTGAACGGGGACGGGGAGATCAGCAGCGCGGAGATGCGGGAGGCCATCACGGCGCTGCTGGGGGAGCAGCTGAAGGCGCAGGAGGTGGATGAGATCCTGCAGGACGTAGACCTCAACGGGGACGGGCACGTGGACTTCGACGGTGAGGGACCCCCCCCCTTCCCACAGCCCCCCCCGCCCCACGGCACGTGGTCGGGGGCCGTGATGGGTGGCTCAGCCCCGGGTCGCCTCACCCCCTCCTCCCTCACCCCACAGAGTTTGTTATGATGCTGTCATCCCGGTAACGAAGCTTCGGGGCAGGAGGGGACACGCCCCTCTCCCATCCTTGTCAGGCACTCCCTGCCTGGCCGACCAGCCCAACCTTTCTGCCAGCATTAGGGTTCAGAGTGAACATCTGGGAATGGGGCAGACATGAGACACCCCCCCCGACCCCAATAGTCCCCGAGGGTGGCGGCAGGACTGGGAGGGGGGCTGGGGGGGCCCAATAAACCCCGTGATCAGAGCCAGAGGTGAGTGTCTGTTGGTCATTGGGAGGGGACGTGGGGTGGGATGTGGGGTGGGACCGTCCCCAGCCATCCCCGGCAGGCAGCGCAGGCTCTGCCCGGGGTGTGAGCTGGGGCTGGGGCGGGGGCAGCTGGGGACA